CAAATCAAATTTACTTCACTTTCTAACATATTCTATACTTCACTTTCTCCATATTCTATACTTCACTTCTCCATATTATATACTTCACTTTCCACAAATGAGCTATTTTTCGAAAGTGCAGTAAATTTTGGGTTATCCAAACAATTTTGTTTTTATGATTAAATCTGCTTAATAAACATCTGTCAGGTTCAGAAACATCGCAAACGTCTTAATATACAGTATACAGAATGTTTTTGATAGGTTTGTCCGTTATTGTGAGATGGAACCATTATAAAACCCCAAAAAAGTTTATTCTGATCAGGACGTAGAATTCTATGTTGCAATTAAATAATTAACATTTAATGTTGACGAAATGGTTAATGCTGATGACAAATTAAACTTGGCAACATTCAACTTTGAACTGCAAAATTAACACTTAATAAATCTCAATTCCGTGTAACTGAATTATATGCACGGATTGTTCCAAATCAGGGATTACATCTCCGATATCGGGTTATCCGAATAATTTACGTATGCGTCAGCGTTATCGTGAATCAAGTAGGCATGGACAAAAAAGTCGGATTCGTCTCGTTTTAAATTTCACTACAATCAACATATTTTACATATCCGAAACGACATTAATTTTGGGAACTTTCTACAAGAATAATAAATAATCTTTGGGCATAATATGTGGGATTCTCGATTCGTTTTTTTTATTATTTTGACAGGAATTCCGTATAATCGTTAACACAGTTTTGGGAATCGTTTCCATAATTCTCCTATGACACGTCGCTTTCGCAATCCGTAGATTAAAATTTATAACCTCTTGATTTTTATTATTTACTGCCATTAATAAGCTTTATATTACAGATAAGTTAAAAGTTTATATGTTAAGTGAATGGAGGATGCGTGTCGGCCGGCTACAAAAATCCTGTCACGCCGATAAACTAGTATCTAAAACAAGGTGAAAATATTTTTGTTTTACATAAAACCGTGCCTTGATTTTAAATCGCATATTTTTCCAAAGGAATTTATGAAAATTTAACATCATTTTATCCGAATTAAAAGCCTTCTAATGGCAGTTACTCCAGCATTAAACACTTTTTCAGCATTTACTACATTGATATAGAAAACGATACGGGTACATTCTGCGGCCACCGCATCTTGTCTACATTCGCCGTACATTAGTGATTGCACGCTCTTGTAATAAAACTATTAACATATCGGGAGAGACGGTGTCCCTAATCGAAGCGTAATTTTTCTTCGAAGCTAGCGATTGTAATTAATTAGCGATATAATGAAGGGCGGCGTTAGCGATAATAAGCAAACGAGCCATAAACAGGGTTGTAACTAATTGATTTTCATATTCAAATAAGTGTTTACATTCGTCGGGCGTAGAGCAAGCAATTCGTTAGTTATGATAAAGCGAATATACGGACGTTTTACGTGTGAAAAGGTTTCTGGCCAGTTGGGCATGCAACTCTGTTGACGCTGTTCAAATCGTGACGTCCATATCACGGTAAACAAAGGCCGGCGTTCAGCATTTCCAGAAACACCACGGAACATGAATCCTGACCGCGACCGATGCCCACCTTAAATATAATAAATATTTGACACGACGGAGGTTTTTTAAAGTACTTAATTCATTTTGATTATCATACTTGAATAGAAAAAGTACAGGATACACCGATTAATAGATGAATATTAACAATGAATACAGTGTAAAATTGTCATCGTCTTTAATATCACAATTTTTTTGACATATGAACTCCTCAGAATTATAATTTCGGCGCCACTGGCGCAAATCAACGACATTCCTATAAAAATTGGTCCTGTATGTATGTTACTAGAATGCACCACTTCGAGATGAACGATAAAATCCTGACAAAACCAGCGTTTTCAGCGAGTCCAAAAACGTATATTATTTGGCCATTTTTATAAAGGTTTATAAAATTATGACAACATTTTTTTTAAGTCAAGGTAAATCTGACAAAACGAAAACGTATATTTGGCCGTTTTTATAAAGGTTTTGGGCACTTTAATATTTTGGTAATTTTTCCTAGAGTATACATAAACTATAATATAGCTCAAGAAAATTAGGACAAAATTTTTTTTTAGTTAGAGTAAATCTGACAAAACCAGCGTTTTCAGCGAGTCCGAAAACGTATATTTGGCCGTTTTTATAAAGCTTTTGGGCACTTTAATATTTTGGTAATTTTTCCTACAGAGATATAAACTATAATATAGCTCAAGAAAATTAGGACAAAATTTTTTTTAGTTAAGAGTAAATTTGGCAAAACCAGCGTTTTCAGTGAGTCCGAAAAAGGAACAGTTGGCCGTTTTTATAAAGGTTTTTGGCACTTTCATGTTTTGGTAATTTTTCCTAAACTATAATATAGCTCATGAAAATTAGGACAAAATTTTTTTTAGAAAGAGTAAATCTGACAAAACCAGCGTTTTCAGCGAGTCCGAAAACATATATTTGGCCGTTTTTATAAAGCTTTTGGGCACTTTCATGTTTTGGTAATATTTCCTACAGAGTATACATAAACTATAATATAGCTCAAAAAAATTAGGACAAAATTTTTTTTTAGTTGGAATAAATCTGGCAAAACCAACGTTTTCAGCGAGTCCGAAAACGTATATTTGGCCGTTTTTATTAAGCCTTTGGTCAGTTTCATGTTTTGGTAATTTTTCCTACAGAGTATACATAAACTATAATATAGCTCAAGAAAATTAGGACAAATTTTTTTTTTAGTTAAGAGTAAATCTGACAAAACCAGCGTTTTCAGCGAGTCCGAAAATGTATATTTGGCCGTTTTTATAAAGCTTTTGGGCACTTTCATGTTTTGGTAATATTTCCTACAGAGTATACATAAACTATAATATAGCTCAAAAAAATTAGGACAAAATTTTTTTTTAGTTGGAATAAATCTGGCAAAACCAACGTTTTCAGCGAGTCCGAAAACGTATATTTGGCCGTTTTTATTAAGCCTTTGGTCAGTTTCATGTTTTGGTAATTTTTCCTACAGAGTATACATAAACTATAATATAGCTCAAGAAAATTAGGACAAATTTTTTTTTTAGTTAAGAGTAAATCTGACAAAACCAGCGTTTTCAGCGAGTCCGAAAATGTATATTTGGCCGTTTTTATAAAGCTTTTGGGCATTTTTATATTTTGGTAATTTTTCCTACAGAACATACATAAACTATAATATAGTTCAAGAAAATTAGGACAAAATTTTTTTTTAATTGGAGTAAATCTGACAAAACCAGTGTTTTCAGCGAGTCCGAAAACGTATGAAAACGTAATATTTGGCCGTTTTTATAAAAGTTTTGGGCAAAAATGTAAAAAAAAACATCTACTTATTCTTCACGTTATGTATGAATAAAATCAAGTATGTAGGAATTATTTACATGGCTTACCTCAATTATTTTTTGCGACTTGACTGAACCGCGTTTTCTTTAATTTTAAGCACCCTGTATATCAAAACCGGACGCATGTTTATAGGAACTTTCTTTGTTAATTTGTGTGGTAAAATACGTGATTAGCGCCCATATACCAATGTTTTTCCTTAACCAAGCTACGTGGGCGTAGATTTCCGTCACTATTTCGTTCGTTTTAAACGAAGTAACGGAATAAACGAGATTTTCTCCGAGTTCAAGGTGTAAAGTTACCCCGAACAATACGGTATTGTCTTACAATTTCATAGCTAAGATAGAGTATGTGATAGGTCGGTCGGTTTCGATAAACAACGCATTGTTAAAATTGTATGTGACGCGGCCACCATTGTGGACTCTCGCATTATCTGTTGCTTTTCTGTGTTTCTCGCCTATGCTATCGGCGACTTGTGTCAAGGACTGGGCTCTTCTTTATTCGTTTTAATCACGCCGGCCGGCCCAATGGCGGCGCTACCGTCGCTCGCGGTTCGCTTGTTCCGCATTAATCACCGATCTATTTAAATACGTGAAAAATTTTAAGCCGGAACCACAGAGTTGAATTTCCCGCAGCGGACAGGTCCCGCGCATGCTCGGTAGCTGTTCGGCAACAATACTGATTTCATTTCTATACCATTTGCGCAGACTCAAACTCTACCTGCGCACAAGCAATTTGTCTGAACTTAGTGATGACGATTTGTCTTTTTAAAAGGGGCCAATGGAATTAATTTTACTACAAAAATTAAAGTTACTCGAAGGAGCTCATGCTCAAGGTTACTTGAAGGTCAACTCTGATTTTTACGTTCGGATGCGTGGTTAATTTATTTAATAAGATCATGTCCAAGATTATTTGAAGAGCAACTCTTGTTTTTTTAAGGTAATACAATTTTTGAAAGACATTCAAGCACATATGAAGGTCAAATCACCCTCTCGAACTTCTCAGGTGGGTACCTCATCAGAATAGCGCGGTATCGGGGAAATGATCTCTATAAAAGTGAATTGGGTCATCGGGGACCACCACTTGGTGACCTTGGATTTGACCTTGAAGGTCATTTTGATAAAAATCACTAGAATAGGCTCCAAGATGGTGAGATGATTTTCGTATCCTTGAGATCTGGCTCTCATGAATCTGAGGCCATAAAAATGGCAACGATAGACTTCTTATTGGAGAATTTGGTTCTACATGCTCTCAGCTTGTGGCCTTGGCACAGTGAAGATGTTTCAAATCCTATGGTATTAAAAAATCTTCAAAAAACAATATTTGACTTTGGAATAACCTTGCCCATTTTCTTCAAGGTTAAATTCAAATGGGGGCCCCCCCAATGACCCTGACAATTTTTCTAGAGGTCGTTTCCCCTATATCAAGCTATCCTGACAAGATATTAATCTGAGAAGTTCGAGAGTGGGATTTTAACCTTCAAATGATATGGGTTAGAAATTGTATTTTCCATCACAAAACAAGGGTTGACCTTCACGTAACCTTGAATACGAGCTACCTTCGTCAAACGGACACCAGATCGTCTGTCACGCATTGATTTTTTTCCCATGGGGTTGCGTAATCAAAGAAGAGTTTAGAGACTTACCAGTCGTGAAGAGCACTATCGCTTTGAGGCAAGAATATTCAGCTGAGTCTACGTGCAGGGCTTTCAATTTTTCTACTTGTTCCTGAAAAGTGACGTTTGTTTGGAACATTTCCTATAAGCAACAGCAAACTTGAAACTCACCTGAAATATCCTAATGTGGTCCATGAACTGAACCACCCTATCCGCGCACATAGGCGAGGCGTGGAGCCCAGCCGCTGCTATGAGGGGTGCCACATGGAGCGGCATGGAGCACTGACTCGCGTTCAGAACGAACAGCTCCGACCACACTAGTCTCAGCAGCGCCACCTACGACAAAAACTCGCTCGTTAAATAGCCGCTTTAACCCTTAACTCATCCACAAACCTGGTCAGTGACTTGGAGGTCCGGAAAGAAAGGGATGTTCCTCGCCCATTCGACTGCCGAGAAAAGTAGCCTGGCCGCCAGTTCGCATATGTTGTCTATTCCCATGATGTTGTTCGTTTGGATGCACTGGCCGTATCTACTTGTCGGGTATGGTTCCGCTCTTAATAACAACGATATGTAACTACTAAGGTACGTGTGGTTGCTCAGGGACGTCGTCACCGAGTCCGTGGAGTTGAGGAACTGATTCGACAGACCTGGAAGCGACGGTTGGGATGGCGGTACTCTTCCCCTTTGGACGGCTGCAACAAGGAAAATATCACTAAGGGGGTTACTGACGCTCTTTTTGCCTGTTGCCAAATTGAATCGAAGAGATTGATTGTGTCATCTATTCTAAATATTTCCATTTGCAGAATTAACAGATATTGGAAGAATAAGTTGTTTGTATTAAGTTATGAAGCGACGTAGATTTCGATTTTAAAGGCTTTAATCAAACCAAGGCGTAGCGCAACAGTATACGTACAAACGAGCATCATAATTTCAGCGTGGGGTTAAGTGCGGATACGGTGAACGGAAATGAGATTGAATCAGTGTTGTAAAATCTTTAACCACGAAACTTTGTTTTAAAACAGCAGGTGGATCATTATTTTCGGCAATAAAAATATCTGCATTTCAACAGGTTTTTAAAGGAACGTTTCGTCCCCATAAAATTATAATAAAAGTTGTTGAATCACACAAACATCGATTTTATTTTTACTTAAGGCAAACTCGTCTTCGCGGTTCGCAGTGTATACAGCGTGTCCCAGGATTGTGTGGTGAAGATGAAAAACTTTATGAGAAAGCGTTCTTTCCTTTAAACTTTTAAAAGTGACCCCAAGCAAAGTATCTTTTGGTATATCAAAAAATTTCACTATTGTTAACAACTCTAGTACCTTATTTCATATCGCTTAGGCAGCTTAGACACATCTCATTGCACCATAAACCCTAAACCCTATAACCCTGGAACACCATAATCTGGGATGTGTGGGGTTCTAGAACCACGAAACTGAGGAAATATGGATCTCATTCGTCAAAAATCCAAGATTGTATAATTCTGCGTAACCTGGGTTTTTCGCCCTGGGTTATGGGGTTACGAGGTTATGGGGTTATGGACCACAGTTATGTAGGTACTTTCTTACCCCTAATGAATGAGATCCATGCTCCCATAGTTTCGTGGTTATTCACCCTCACACACTTCAAGTTATGGGGTTACGGGGTTATGGGGTTATGAAGCTACGAGGTTATAGCGCAATGAGAGCATAGATTTGAATGGTTTTTCAACCGCTGACTACTGCAGTCAAATTGAGATCTCGAAAATCGCTTTTTAGAGAAGTTTCTTGACCTTAGGGTCAGAACACGAACCAATCCGGGAATTCTGACTTTACATTCAGATTCATCGTGTTAAAACACTATAAAGGATATTTTTTATGGTGCTATGTTATTAATTGTTAGTCAGTTTCTGGTTTAATTACGGGAAAGTTACAGGAAATGGGGTTACAGAGTTACGAAGCTACGGGGTTATGGGGTTATGGCGCAGTGAGATCACGAATCCGAATGTTTTTTCAATCACCGACTACTCGAAGTAAATTTGAAATCTCGAAAACCAGTTTCTAGAGGAGTTTCTTGATGTTAGGCCACGAAATTTGAATAATTCTAAATATTTAGAATTTTCACCCCCAAGAACGGCGGTGACAACATTTTTAAAATTATGGCGATGTTTCGCATGGTACTAGCTATGTCTTGTACACATTTAGTTTCGCGCAACTCACTCGGTTTCAAAAATACAATACCTATGTACGTTTTCAGCCACGAAATTTGAATAATTCAAAATTTTTCGAATTTTCACCCCCAAGAACGGCGGTGACAACATTTTTAAAATTATGGCGATGTTTCGCATGGTACTAGCTATGTCATGTACACATTTAGTTTCGCGCAACTCACTCGGTTTCGAAAATACGTATATATATACGTATATAAAAAACGTAAACGTAAAAAACCTATATACGTTTTCAGCCACGAAATTTGAATAATCAAAACACGAATCGATCCGGGAATCCTGACTTTAGATTCGGATTCATCGGGTCAAAACACTATGTAGGTAATACTGATCTGGTCACTTCATTTTTTGTGGTGCTGTGTTATCATTTGTTAGTCAGTTTCTGACTTAATTACGGAAAAATTATGAACTTTCGGGGTTATGGGGTTACGAGATTATGAAGTTATGGGGTTATGACGCAATGCTATTATGAATTTAAATGTTTTCCAACCGCTGACTGTCAACTCAGTTTGAATCTCGAAAATTGCGTGAGTTTCGAATGAAATGAATTTATTGTAAAACAGAAGTGAATGTAGAAGATGAAAAAAAGGTCGGGCGACGGTGTTATTAAAAGAGATAACTGGATCCGGAGGTGATGCGGTACAACTTCGACGGCCAGCCTAAAAACGCCCGCAGTCGATCGACTATCAAGTGAACCAAGTTCATCACTATCCCCGAAGATATAACGAATAACTTACCATTTATCAAGCCACATGGATGTCTAACATCATTTATATAAGTTGTGACGTTTGAATTAGCATTGATTGCCGTTCGGCTTTTAAATTTTTTCGACATATACATATACATATATATATATATATATGTTCATCTATCGTATTGTCATTTTAATGTCTATTACATACGGATGTGTGCCGTTGAAAAAAATACGAGAATGTAGACCAATCTGTTGTGGCCGATGGGTCCGCAGATGCGTGGATACATAATTTTACAATATCCTTTGTACCACGGACGCTACAAAGATGACACGGAGATTTTTATCGTCTTATGTAAATTTGTCGTTCCTTCTGATATACGCGAACTTACGTGATTTGGAACGGCAAATCTTATCGTTGCGTCTGCGAATTCGCTCCATATGGTACAACTCGTACAAAAAAAATGCCGAGGGAAAATGTTTTTATAGGAATACAACATCAAAGAATGAGACGATTTTGTCGTATGGACCAAGAGTTTTATTTTTTGAGATACAAGAAATATAAGTTGACTTTGGGACAGTCAATAGCGTTTTTCTCAAAAAGGGCGCATTTTTAACGATTTCAACAAGAGTACAATTTTTACGTGAAATGAAATTTTGCATAGGAAAATATAATTTGCATTGCAGAAAACACAACCTCAAAAAAGTTACGTCATTAAATGTCACTGGATAAGGTCGTAACTAGCGACCTCTAGCNAGGAGTTTCTTGATACATGGGTCAAAACACGAACCAATCCGGGAATTCTGACTTTAGATTCGGATTCATCGGGTCAAAACACTATGTAGTGGACACTGGTCTGGTCACTTCATTTTTTGTGGTGCTGTGTTATCATTTGTTAGTCACTTAATTACGGAAAAATTGTGAACTTTCGGAGTTATGGGGTTACGAAATTATGAAGCTATGGAGTTATGGGGTTATGACGCAATGCGATTATAATTTTAAATGTTTTCCAACCGCTGACTGTCAACTTAGTTTGAAATCTCGAAAATTGCTTAAAAAAAGATAAATTGCTTTCTAGAGAAGTTTTTTGATGTTAGGGTCAAAACACGAACCAATCCGGGAATTTTGATATTCGAATTCATGGGGTTGGATTCACTGGACTGGTCCACGGCTTGGCCTACTTCTTTTTAGTAGTGCTGTGTTATTATTTGTTAGTCAGTATCTGTCGTAGGGTTATGGGGTCACGGGATTATGGGGTTACGGGGTTATGGGGTTCTGGCGCAAGTCATTTTTAAATCTCAAAAATAATCGCTTTCTGGAGGAATTTCTTGATGTTAAATTCAAAACACGCACCAATCCGGGAATTGTGACTTTATCTTGACTCAGCCCACTTTTTTCGTATTACTGTAATCATTTGTTTCTTTCACTATCAATTTGAGTACTGTGCTTTTTAAGGGTTTGAATGTTACTATATATTGTAATTATGTATAAGAATATAACCGAGTAATAATTTACGAGGCTTTGTTTATAACGATGCCAAGTTCTTTGGCATCCTGTTAAATGATTATAGTACTTCACGCATTAATACATTCTGGCGTATATTTAAACGTTGCAAGCTCCGAACTGAAGATATACGATGAATATTTATTCTATCAAGTGTACACCTTAGTCTAAGTGAGATGAGATGGTACATAAAAAATAGCGTGAGTTTCGAGTGAAATGAATTTATTGTAAAACAGAAGTGAATGTAGAAGTTGAAAAAAAGGTCGGGCGACGGTGTTATTAAAAGAGATAACTGGATCCGGAGGTGATGCGGTACAACTTCGACGGCCAGCCTAAAAACGCCCGCAGTCGATCGACTATCAAGTGAACCAAGTTCATCACTATCCCCGAAGATATAACGAATAACTTACCATTTATCAAGCCACATGGTTGTCTAACATCATTTATATAAGTTGTGACGTTTGAATTAGCATTGATTGCCGTTCGGCTTTTAAATTTTTTCGACATATACATATACATATATATATATATATATGTTCATCTATCGTATTGTCATTTTAATGTCTATTACATACGGATGTGTGCCGTTGAAAAAAATACGAGAATGTAGACCAATCTGTTGTGGCCGATGGGTCCGCAGATGCGTGGATACATAATTTTACAATATCCTTTGTACCACGGACGCTACAAAGATGACACGGAGATTTTTATCGTCTTATGTAAATTTGTCGTTCCTTCTGATATACGCGAACTTACGTGATTTGGAACGGCAAATCTTATCGTTGCGTCTGCGAATTCGCTCCATATGGTACAACTCGTACAAAAAAAATGCCGAGGGAAAATGTTTTTATAGGAATACAACATCAAAGAATGAGACGATTTTGTCGTATGGACCAAGAGTTTTATTTTTTGAGATACAAGAAATATAAGTTGACTTTGGGACAGTCAATAGCGTTTTTCTCAAAAAGGGCGCATTTTTAACGATTTCAACAAGAGTACAATTTTTACGTGAAATGAAATTTTGCATAGGAAAATATAATTTGCATTGCAGAAAACACAACCTCAAAAAAGTTACGTCATTAAATGTCACTGGATAAGGTCGTAACTAGCGACCTCTAGCAGGTGGCTAAAAACTAACAATATTAACGAATTTAGCACCCTCGAAAACTTACCAGTACGAAATTTCAATATTTTATGTGTTTTTTTGGAAAAGATATAGTTAAAATTTGATTTTTTAAAATTTCTTTGACACCCTGTATCTCGATATTTTCTTACTTTTTTGATGTTCTAT